CCCCCCACCCCTCCCACCTCAGCGTGACACCGAATGAGAGAAAGGAGGCGAATCGGCGCATGATTTAGTGGGTCTTGATTCATGCTCGCGTCAATCGCATGAAGCTTTTCGGTTGAATTATAGCATGCGAGCGCCTGAAGTTCTTCGGTTCCTGCTCGCAAGATAAAGACCTTCAACAATTTGCTCTGAATACTGTCGAATGCCGCTCATCCCTTGAAAGCCAACCCGGGTTGAGTAATCGGCCAGTCATGGAAAAGTGTTCCCCCATCATGGTTGGTTCCCACTGTTGACATGGATTCGATGTGATACGAAGCGGCATGGCAATTGAACGGATACGTCGTATCGATCGACTAGTCGTACAACTTTGACAATGAGTTGTCCAGTCACAGCTGTCCTTACCTTAAAGTGATGCTGTCCGTCTCGTTCTATCAACGACGAAACCACCTGTGGCAGTGAGCAGAAATTTCGTATGTTAGCACTGGGACGGCGAGTACCTCACAACAAGATTCCATAACAAGCTAACACAGAGGAAGATCAAACCATGAATCAGCACTAGAAGGGATTCAGCGTCAGCGCTCACAGAATCTCGACCGAACTCATCGTTTCACGGGGAGTATGGGACTGCCGACAGACCTTCATTGCCCACATGTTTGAAGAATTTCACCCGACCTTGTCTCTTCAGCCAGGTAGGAACAAGGTCCTTCTGACAAGTCCTCCCCTCGACGACGAGGCATCCTCCCCTTCGTCGCGGACACTCCCAATGTCGTCGGCGGCGTTCCATGATTCTCCTAATTCTCCAATTGCAAAACGACTCGTCTGTCCGGAAAGAACATTTCTCCATAGGGCATTCCAGCTTGCGCTCAAAACGCTCGACCAGCCAGTCGACTTTGAGATGAACGCCGGTATAGACAAGATAGTAGAAATGACGACAGGTGTGTTTGAGCGCCAAGGCGTCAGGATAGGGAAGATACGAGGAGATCTGTAAATGCAGCTCTGTTGGTAGAGCCATAAGAGAGTGTTCAGAGGAAACATATTCTCCTTCGACAGGAGCTTCCATGACTGTATGCTTATCTGGTTGCATATTTGCTTGAATGCTTGGATGTGTCCGTTGAGAAACAAGGTAGAAAGAAAGCCAGAAACGCCAACTCCAACTATACAAGTCCAAAACAAACAATTATATGTTACTGGAGCAAAGGTGTTGCCTGGAACATCAATACAAAAGCGACGTGGCTGTCCAGACACGGACAGAATGGACAGACAATACGAAGTGTTTCAACTATTTAAAGCAACTTGAGGCAACGACGTTACCCCATAAAAGGAACCCGATGACCTGTTCCACTTGGGCTTCCTGTCGGCGTCGAGATGCCGGCGATTGGAGGACGATAGGAGTGATAGTGATCGACCAATGACTCAATGAGCCATTCATCCCACACCCTCTGTACACAAATCATAAATCTGAACTAAGAAAAGCAGGTACACAGCTCGAGCAGAGTGATAAGAAACAATAACAAGCTGGGAGAAAGGAAGGATGGATGACAAAATGATCGACACTCCCCTCATCCTTTGGCGGTGATGAAGGCAATAAGTCACAGCCTCACCGCCCGCCACTTCCGGACATCTATTGCCATCATCACCGTGGAAAGCTTCATCTTCAACACCACAGCGATCCTTATCGATTTTCCTACTTTGAGAATCATCACATCCATCTCTCCAGAAAAGTAATATTCAATACCGCCTGACGACCCACTAGAAATCTTTCAGAGTGCTCAACTGCACATTCTCCTCCCATAAAATCCTCCTCACAATGTCCGGCAAAGGCAACTCCGCATACGGAACCCCCTCATCAGATACCGCCTTCCGCAAAACTTGGGACCGGGAAGAATATGCCAAAAAAGCCGCAGATGAAGAAGCGAAGCGCAAAGAAGAGGGCAAGGCCCGCTACGAGGCGAAACTCCTAGGCAAAAAATGGCACGCGCCGGTGGACTACAGCTCCCTCGAGGCCACGACCTCGCGCAGACAGCGCCTCGATGTCGCGTCGATGGTGGGCAAGACGACGATCGTTCCTGCGGGATCGGCAGTGGGTAAAAGGGGTCGCGGTGCTGGATTCTACTGCGCCGACTGTGATCTTACCTTCAAGGATAATCTGCAGCTGGTGGAGCATTTGAACAGCAAGCAACACTTGATTGCGACGGGTCAGAGTGGAGAGGTAGTTCGTGCTAGTTTGGAGGATGTGCGGCAGCGGTTGCGATTCCTGGCTCATCAGAAGCGAGTCAAGGAGGAAGAAGAACGGCGGGCCTGGCAGTTGGATCTTGGCGAAAGATTGAAGGAGAGGGAGGAGCAAGAGGCCAAAGAGAGAGAAGAAAAGAGAAGGAAGAGGAACGAAAAGCGTCGGAAAGGTGGAGAGAATGGAATCAAGCAGGAGGAAGATAGCTGGGAAGGTCGACTCGGCATTATCGCATAGTACAAGGCGTTTTGAAAGGGATTGGACATACGAAAGACACTTGAATTCATCGGAGGGATGAAATTTTTGCAGATACCCAGGCGTTTGGTTTTACTTTGGGATTTTCTTTAAGGCTGGATCTGTCAGTGTCAAAATAGACAGGAATTGCATTTACCGCGCTGTGATATTGCAGATTCGCTTCAGAAATATCGTGCCCAGGAATACCTTCAACAAATAAGTGCTTAAACAGAGAGCCATTGTTCCATTCCCATAACACCAACCAGGTTCAAATCAAACGCCGTATCTCAATCAATGCATTCGATCCCTTCCAATGTGCGCATCGCTCGAGCCCCTTCCTTCTCGAATTGACTGACCAATCTTTCACATTCGCGCTTGAGCTTTTCTTCTCCGTTCCGAGCGTTCCAGAAAATCCACTCTTGTACTGTCATCTTCTTCTCAGGACTTGTAAGATCTCCTTTGACACTGTTTAGAGCAGCCCCTACATCCATGTTCTCCTTATCACTCATCGACGCGTAGAGAAGTTCATCTATGTCAATAGGAGTCCAGGGGTGTAGACTCCTAAGTGCTCCAGAATTCACATTTCGTTTGGACGGTGAGGGCGTACTGCTTGCCAGGGGAATGCGAACCGACTTCTCCTTAGATGGTGATGCCAGTTGCGTCCTTAGAGACGATGGTTGTATAGTTGGAGGTTGATTCTCAGCATCGGAGGACTGGGGCGACGAAGATGGCGAACTCTTCGAAGTGGAAGGGAGAGGCGACACTGCATCACTTTCCTGTCGGCCAGAGTTTATCTTAGCTTGTGGTGCTTGATGGGAGTTCGGCGTTCGAGTTTCCGCAATCGACTTGGCAAATTGCTTCTCTTGGGGGATGTCGCTGAATCTCTCAGCCGTCTTCGGGGGAACTTTGGATGACCGGCGATGGACAGGCGTTTCGTTGACCTCCAGCTGCGCCTCCGGCTCCTCCGGCTCTACCTCCCTGTCTTGCTCTATGTCGTTCTCGGGGTCCTGCTCTAGCTCTGGCTCTAGCTCCGGTTCTAGCTCCAGCTCTTGCTCTTGTACATCGATTTGATTGTGCGGAGAAATTGTATTCTGTGTGAGTGGCAAAGGGGCCTCCGGCTTCGAGCTACGTCTTGTTTCAAGCCTCTCGGAAGCATGAGTTTCAGCCTCTGAAGGCTCCAGAGGCTCCGGAGATACGTCCCTGGTGTGACTAGTTTTCTTCGCCTTGCTGGTCGAAGACTTTTTGGTCGCCTTCTTCGTTTGAGAGCCACTATTTCTCCTTTCGGGTTCGAAGTCTGGCTCTGGATTCCTTGCTGTTATCTCCACTGACACAGAAGACCCTTGGTACCTGTGATCAGCTTCGGCGTCAACATCTGCTGCATCAACTTTTGTTGCTGGGCGACCCTTGGGTGACTCGGTTGTTTTCTTTTCTGAAAGCCTTGCTTCTTTTGAGCTTCTCTGCTTGGTAGTGGATTTAGCTGGTTTCGGCTGCTCGGCTGGCAACTGAACATCACTTTTCCGCTTGTAGACAAACTCATCATCGTCGTATCGACGCAACTCTTGCTCCTCGTTTCGCTCGACAGCATCATGCTGCAGCTTTATTGGTTCTTCTGCTGCCTTCTTTGTTTTCTTCTTGGATTTTGATTTCTTCGAAGACTTGTGTGTTTCCGCCGGAGGCTCTTCGACCATAGGCTCGCCCACTTCCAGTTCGGCCTCAATTGCTGCATCAATCTCCGAATCTCGCGGTAAGCGAGCTTCCGGAGCTGCCTGAGCTACCGATGAATCCTCTGATAGCTTCCGATCTTTGGATGATGTCTTCTTCCTGGTGGCCGCACGCCCCTTCTTAGCTTCAGTTTCGAGGAAGGCCTTTTCGTCAGGCTCATGCACATCTGCGATAGCAACGTCACTGCGAGTGCTGTCTTCTCGCTGAGTATCACTGTTGCGCGACTTCGTCGCTCTCTTCTTGGTCGGTGGTTCAGATTGATGAATGGCCTCAGCAATAGCCATGTTAGACTCGTCTGGGTCCATTTCCTCACTAGCCCTCTTCTTGCCTCTGGTCCGCTTGGGCTTGGTAGGTTCAAGTTGGGCATATTCCACGGTGTCTAAATCCATTTGGCTATCAGGCTCCGAGGTATCATCCTTCTTAGATTTCGAGGTCTTGGATTTGGATTTCGATGACTTCTTTGAGGTTTTCGTTTTGATTGGCGGCTGAGGAATATCATCCTCATCCATTTGGTTGTCAAGCCCGATCATGGGCGCTTCCGATACTGTAGATTGCGTCGACAGACGGGACGATGCTTTGGAAACGCGCGACTTTTTTGATCGAGAAGTTTTTGACTTCTTGCCAGGAGGCTGTGCAAAGACGAAGAAGGAACAATCGGCTGACCGCCGGTAGTGCTCCTCACTAGGCAAGTCAGTGAATATCAAATAGGAAGGAGCGATGAGGCACTGACAAGGGGTCATCTTTGGGTTCCCATCCGTCGAGAGACAATTTACAATAGGCGCAACTGGCTAGATCATTGCTCTCCTCAGTTGGGCAAAAGTACCATCCACCTTCCACCATCTGCCATGGACGAAGAATATTAGATTGCAAATTCAAGTGGCTGACAAATTGCGCTTTGGAATTGAAAACATGTCGAACACTACCTTTTCAGATTGGCAAGTCCAGCCCCGCTTGCCATCGTGTGGCCATTGATCGCCAAAAGTGGCTTGTCTTGCCTGCGCTATCCTGTCGCTTGTTGGATCTTCAATTTCAGCGGGATTTGAGCTGTGCTGCTCGATGTCCATCATGATAGCCCAACCGCAATCATTTGAGTGTTTAAGATGCTCAGTGATCGGGTTATCCTCCGATTCCCACCCGTCGAGCGCGCGTTGGCATAAGTAGCATGTCGTATTATCGGGGTTGGTCTCGTAGGGGTTGTAGTAGAAACCTGCATGCGCTAGCTTTGGCTGGGAGTCAGTCATCGCATCGACAAAGAGACAGATAATAAAAAGTGACGATACCTCTGCTGGGGACGGCCTACTGTGAGGCCAAGATATCGGCTTGACGGATTTTGCGCTCGATGTCCGTCGTCGTTCAGGATGGAGAACCAGATCAAAGCTGGCGAGACGGGCGGCGAAAGTCTCCATTTCCTTAATCATTATACCAAAAAGGAAATCGCATTGAGAATAAAAGCCCCCGTCAAATTCAAGATGTATGGCATATGAGTTACTCAAGTCGGTCGGTTTGTTGTTTTCTGGTCGGGAGTGGTGGTTGTCAAGGGAGTGGGCTCTGTTTACAGGCTTGTTTGGGTCAAAGGACGCGCTGCAACGACACGATGGCACGTGATTAAACTGTCACTGTCAGCACAATAAGGATTATTGTGTCCTGCTTCCTACATTGCATACATCAAGGTGGCCAGATCCTGCATGTCAATGAATTCCTTGCAGAAAAGTACATTGCATAGGTGGATCATGGATGTCGAACAATAGTTGGGAGCAAGGCAGCGGCCAACTGGCTCCAGGAAGTGGTTCTCTTCGAGTCAAAGTAAGCTCATGTAGGCTCGATTTTCCAGAAGCACCAACGAAACCCCCGATGGTCTAGTTGGATATGGCGGTCGGCTGTAATGGAATAATTGTAACCGACAGGTCGCCGGCTCGATTCCGGCTCGGGGGACGTTACCTTTTTCCTTTTTGGATTTTGTTGATTGAGTGATGGTTTCATCGCACAAAATCAATCAATGATTGTGTGCTTTTTTTTCCTATCATAAATTGCAGTTGTCATTGCCAGCTTATTGACGATATGTGACAGTTGCAGATATGTCGAAATGAGTTGCCCCGAATCAGTCCCAGACTGCCAACACCACAGACTCGTGGTGGAGGACCTTATTGCTCTAATGATGTTCACCTTGAGGATGCGCGACCATACGGACTAGTAAGTAGCTACTAGACCTGGCCGGTAGGTGCAACGATGTTTCGCATGATTCTAACAAGAAGTATCTACAAGAGCTAAAATCTACTCCGTACCACAGGCCGGTACTGCTCAACTCAGGTGTGTTTCAAGCACGCAACTTTGTGGATGTAGAGATCGCCAAGGCGGTTGTCTCCCAAACCCCCGATGGTCTAGTTGGATATGGCGGTCGGCTGTAATAGAATAATTGTAACCGACAGGTCGCCGGCTCGATTCCGGCTCGGGGGAGTCAGAGACATTCTTTTTGTGGTTTGTTTTTCGACCCCTTGAATCCGCTTTTCAAATATGAGAATATTTTTAATTCTCTGAAGAAAGCTGTGTTCAGGCTGCAAACTTGGTTGAATGATATGCAGGGTGCAGACTGCAGGCACAATGGAATGGAACATGGATATCATTATCTGCCCCCTTGCGTCCCCCACATGTGTCAGGCATCAAATTCGTCCAGCAGAGATATCACTGTTTGTAGCTTCTCTAGACCTCATTGCGCTGTAGTGTCATCTACCTAGATCCCTGTTATGCGAGGACCTGGCTAAATCTATCCTTCCATGATTTTTCAGGATGAGTGGGCGCAACGGCTTAAGTACATCAGAATGCAGTCATTACTGAAAACGATAATACCTTAATGTCCATGGGCTCACGGACCGCAAAAATTACGCTGTCGGCGATGCACCTTGCCCCAGATGAGAAGAGCGAGATGAGAACGGCAGCCTCGACCTCGATGGCGTAATGAGATTCAAGGTGCAAAAAAGAAATGTCTCTGCCTCCCCCGAGCCGGAATCGAGCCGGCGACCTGTCGGTTACAATTATTCTATTACAGCCGACCGCCATATCCAACTAGACCATCGGGGGTTTTCGAGATATCCCGTCACCCTGTTTTGGATCTATAAGTCTATAAATCCCCGACGTTGTCTTTCGACAACGAACATGTCGCTGAACGAACGTTTCAACTTCTTAGATAGAGGGTAATCAGGAGAGCAACCCGGTCCTGACATCAATCTACCAGTGCCAATAGCTTGAATGCGGCGAGGACAGATCGCAACTATGCAGATTGCAGCATGTTCCACGGGCCAAAGAGCTTTGACTTTCTGAACAAATAAGGTCCGGTAGCCTCTGTCACACTGACCCACCGTATTGGCTACACCTGCGTGCTTAATGAGGAACTAGCCTAGTAGCTGGGTCCTACAGAAATGCAGAAATAACGATCAAAAAAGTGAACAGACAAAAAGATATCCTGATCCCCCGAGCCGGAATCGAGCCGGCGACCTGTCGGTTACAATTATTCTATTACAGCCGACCGCCATATCCAACTAGACCATCGGGGGTTGGTAGGATGCTGGATGAGGGTCAGCATTGGTAGATAGCGGCCAAAATCTGACGTGAGATGGACTGTTCAATGGAGCCTGTAGCCGAGTCCAGGGGTACGAGCCGTTCTGGTAGGTAGGAGAGCTTTCTCGGAGCTGGCTTGATGGAGTCCTTCAAATGTCAAGGACGGAAAGCGCAAGATGATCGCAGTCTGTAGTAGTAGTCAAGCAGTTCTTCAGGTTACTGGGTAATTTCCGTGGAGACTTGAGGGCCAGTGCCCTACACAATCAGGACGATTTTGGATTTCAGTATTGCATTTCGCATTCATCTGTTTCGCATTCATCGAAATTCTGCAAGCATGTTGTTGACGGAATTCTCTCGATGGACCTGCTCTTCTCATAGATGGTCTTGATACATGGCCAGCTGGATGGAAACAAATCACTGCATGTGTGGAAAGAAGAAAGGTAAAAAAAAGAAAATGAGTGATGGAAGTGCGGGATCAAAAAAAGATAAAAAAGATAACCCGTTACTCCCCCGAGCCGGAATCGAGCCGGCGACCTGTCGGTTACAATTTCCATTACAGCCGACCGCCATATCCAACTAGACCATCGGGGGTTGCTAGGTTGATCCGGTAACTCCTTAAATGGACTATCACTAGGTTAAAAAACTAAATACATTCCAAACTTTACTTTTTTTGCAGCCCCTGGGAGTTCAAGATCAGACAGGCGCTACGACCCCTTATCTCTGACTGTATACGGAGTACGGAGTATATACAACATCTTCTTGGATGTCTCTGGCGTCTCGTTACTTATCATCATCGAGCCATTTATTTATATTCTTTCAGGGGCACTAATTGCAAAGCATCGACCAGTGCATCCATCTTACACGTCTTTGTCGCTGGGTTTTTGAGCCAAACGTGGTAATCCCCATGGGCTCCTCGCCCCTCAATCAACACTGCCATTCTAATGGCCGGATCGGTTTGTAACGCTTTGGTTGCATACTTCTGCGAATTCGGTGTTTCTGGAGACGGAACCACAGCCTCACATAAATGAGGGAAAAACCGAGCAAGACCCAGCCAGTCTACAGGACATGAATATTTTGAATACCCTGATTGCCCCAGATTGACCGTAACTATGCTCAGAAGATATTCTCCCGCTCGGTGATGATTCAAAGATCTAAATCCTATCCAAGTTTCCAAACGACCGAAATGGAATATTTAAACCAGTGCCGGAGCACTGCAGTACACCAACGCCGTCGCTAAAGCACCAAAAATGACGCAAAATTCCCAGGGTCCATAACCATAGACCCAGCCGAAAACCCAAGAAATTTAAAAAACAAGGCAAGTAGATCATGATGCTATCATACAATAGATTGCGTCGTATTCAGACGTTTCATGTGTCTCTCGAGAGAAGACCGCCGACATCATGGAGCTCCACATCATCGGACCTCTCCAGAATGGGCGCGTGTATATCCGATTGAGAGTGGTACGGAGGCACGGGGGGATCTGCGGAATCGCTGAAGTGGACGTTTGAGCCTCGTCGGCGGCCGTGGGAAAAGCCACGGCCGGCTAGCCCTCCTGGCCGGGAGTAATTAGGAGGGGAGGGTTGCCGAGGCGAAGAGTGGTCGTTTCTCATATTCGGTGCGGCGAGTAAGCCCCCGACGTCCTGCAGAAAAGCTCTGCTACCATTGCGATATTGCTGCGTGCCAAAGCTCAGCTCGCGATGCCATGTAGAGTCGGCAGAGGAGTTGTGAGACTTTGGCGTTGGGGAGTCGTCCAGTAGCCCACCAACATCGAAGATGGAGACTTTGCTAGGGGAGGAGATGGCGGCATCGTTGGATTTTTTGTGAGGGGTTTTGTTGGTCTCGATGTACTCGTGGGGACTGATCTTCAGCTCCAAGCTACCAGTTGTGGACGTTATGTCGTCATCTGTTCCTATCGAGTGACAGTGGTTGCCAAAGGACCAATTCGGGGTCAGTGTCCCCGTTTGGGCCGTGAGGGGATGGTACGGTACGGCGACTGGAGCTGGACGTGGAATCTTGTTATCTGAGGAGTGTAGGTCAGGTTTCAGTCGGATCCCCAGATCGCCCGCAAGATCCGAGTCGCTGCCCCATTGATGGTAGGTAATGGTTGCACGTCGCGTCGAGCTGTGATCCATACTCTCGCTCACCGAGGCCGAACCAACATCCTTCTTGAACTTCGCCTTCTTGACACCCTTATCTCTGACGAACGAGCCGATGACGACCGCGTTGGAGACAGCGGTCGCGGCTAGAATCTCTAGCGATGCAAGAAGCGATCGGTATTGCTGTGACCCATTGTGCCAAATCACCGACGGAACGCGATAGCAGGTGATTCCAACCAATATCAGAGACAAGGCGAAGAGCAATGCGAGGATCACCTTGCGTTTCGTGGGCATATGCGTCATCAAGACGATCGGAATGGGATAGGCGACCAAAAGCAGGTCGGTGATGATGTCGCATGCCCCCATCGTGATCAGGTTGGCATAGCCCAAGCGACACTGTGGCCCTGGATCCGGAACAACCTGCCAGTAGTGGTCGAAAGGCTGACACTCAACGAGAGTCGCAATCACCACTGCGATTAATGTCGAGGCCAGGAAATAGTAGATGATCTTGAGGAATATTCGAAGCGACCGGTGCCAGATCATCCCTGCAACTCGTTTCAGAAACTCGCACACGGTGAATTTGGCGATCCAAA